AATAAAAACACTGATGCAAATAAACTTAGACAAGATGTGCTTCGAGTTTTGAAAATGCATAAACCGGTTTCTACAAATGTAGATAAAGATCAGTTTAAAGCTCTCAAAGAACTTAAGTCTAGCAACACAATTAGTATTTATCCGTTTGATAAAGGATCAGGCTTTTTTCGAATTAATAAAATTGATGCTCTTAAAAAATTGAAGAACAACTCGAAAAATCTAAAATCATAAACTATGATCCAACTCAAAAACTCCTTCGCAAAGTTCAGAATACTTTACGAAATCTAAAAATAAAGTTTACAAAAAATGAATATAGATCAATTTATCCAAGTGATGCCACTCCTCCACGATTATATGGTGTCATCAAGGCACACAAACCAACTAATAACTACCCAATGCGAATTATAGTAAGCACAATAGGGTCACCTACATATAAATTATCCAATTATAGTTAATCTCATTCAACCTACCTCCAATCTAAACAAAACAAAACTTCGAAACTCAAAACAATTTGTTGAATGTGCTCAAACATGGTGTATCGATCCTGGTGAATTTCAAGTTTCCTTCAATATTATTAATCTTTACCTTTCAATACCATTTAAAGAATCAATCGATATTCTATTAGAACAACTCCGTAATAGTCCTGTCTTTAATTCAAAATTATTGTTTTCAGAAATAAAAATACTTTTAGATTTGTGTTTATTAAACTGTTATTTTTTACATGAAAATAATATACATACATTAGAAGATGCCGGTCCTATAGGTTTATCATTAATGGTAGTAATGGCAGAGAGTTTTTTGCAACATTGTGAAGAAAAAGCTTTAATACAGGCACAATATCTTACACCACTAATATGTGTAAAATCATTCAAAAGGTATGTTGACGATATCCATTCCCGTTTTAATAATGAGGCAGAATCAGAACGTTTTCTTGACTTGTTAAACAACCAACACACAAGTATCAAATATACAAATGAAAAAGAAAGTGACTCACACACAATAAATTTTCTTGATCTCTCAATAACAAATAACAAATCTGGAACATATCTTTTTAATATCTATCGCAAAGATGCAATAACAAATGTGTAAATAAAGCCGCATTCTTGTCACGATCCAAAAATAATTTATGGTGTATTTAAAGGTTTTATCCAAAGAACTTTTGCATTATGCAGTAAAGAAAACATAACTCATGAATTAAAGTTTCTTACAGAAATGTTTATAGAAAATGGTTATAAAAAAAAATACTTCAAAACATTGTTGAAAAAATTAAAAACAATAAGCGAAATAATCAACAAAACAACAACAATAACATCAAAAAACTACAACTTAACTATATTTCTCTGCCATGGGTGCCAAAATTAAGTAATCAATTAAAAAAGATATTTAAAAATGCTGGCTATACTTCAGTTTTTAAATCACCAAAAAACCTTCAACAATTAATAACTCAAAAAAACAAGCCTCGACTTCCCAACAATTCTTATCCAGGAGTCTACAAACTGGAATGTTCGTGTGAAAAACTTTATGTAGGTGAAACAAAACTCAAGGTTTCAAATTGCATTTACCAACATCAAAAACATACTTTTGAGGGAAAATGGAAAAATTCAGCTGTAGCGGGGTATTGGTAATAGGAATCCGGTGCGCAATATTAATATTCATTAAAAAAACTAGTTCTAATTCATTCCTACAAATTGCTTACAATCATCCTGGAACTGAAAATTCTTTTTATTTGCCGTTAACTAAAATATAGGCATGAAATTGTGTACCTAAGTCTGAAGGTCAAATACTCTACAAGGATTTGGCTGCTGCAACAATGATAGAAACTTATTCTCTGCAGACTTCTAAGCAGAAAGTATTTTTTTCAAGCACATTTTTGACTTGTATATGATAATGAAAAAGTGTTTGTAATAAAAGAAAATTCCAAATTTATCATCGCCATTTAAAGCCACTTCATTTTCTATTCTCATCAACTCCTACTAAAAAAATGCACATTTAATTTCTTTTTACGCAACTAATTCCTTGTACTGCTAATTTAAATTACATTAAAAAGATAAAAATTACATTAAAAAGGTAAAAATATTCATATGAACTGAAACAAACTAAAAGTCTAAAAGACAAATAACTACAAAAATTAATTATTTTGTAATTGTTTTGATATACAGCGTATTTTCTTGATCTATTCAGTAATATTATTTTATATATTGAAAAAGCTGGGCATTTTCTACACTTTTATGCTTTTGTATATAGAGGTCCCAACAAATGCATATAGAGGCCCCAGCAAATTCACAACTGCAGTGAAACATATGTTTAAAAATCAGAGACCCCTGTTGTGACCCCTGTTTTAAAGGGCGCCGATGCACCCGGGTCAATCCGACATTGGCTATGGTTATACAATTAAGATATGAGTTAAAGATATATATACTTTTTTATAGGTTTTAGACATAAGAAATTTAAATAACACAAATAAACAAGTAACTAAAATTGTGCAACGTAATGTTTATTGCAATTGATTGCTATGATGTTTAATATAACATTAAGAACTTAGTAACACTAAAATAAACACAGAAAAACAGTTACAATGTTTTTAATATTTTAATGCAACAAAAAACTATAAACATTATTCTGCTATTCTGTCCATATTCTGAACTTCTTGATTCAACGGAGAGTCGATATACTTGAACCACCAAACGTCAGGGGCGGATTTAGGGTACGTCTAGTACGTCTGTAGACGTACCCAAAAATAAGAATAACTCTAAAAAAAAAAAATAAGTTTATATATTATTTCAATATTGCGTAAAAAAATATTTTTTTTTAGTTTAACCGTTAAGTGAATTAAATTTAAGTTTTATTACCTTCATACAAACAGTTATGAAAAAAAAAAAAAAAAAGATTTCGCATCTTGTTTAGAGTAATTAAAGTTGCTTTTTGTTTAGAGCGGTAAATAAAAAAATCTTTTTTAACTGGAGGTTAAAGTAATAATAAATAATAATATTTAATTAAAAGAGTCAATGGACGTACCCAAAATTATTTTGTTAAATGATAAAAAAACGTTTTTAAATCTTTATTTTTTTTGTTATAAAAGCAAAATATCAATTTCTTTACTTATAACAATTTTTGGACGTACCCAAAGCAGTACACCCTAAGTAAAATCTTAGTTAAAATCCATTGTTTAGCAATAATCAGGAGATGAAATATATTTTAATAGTTACTAAATATCAAAATAAAACAATGGACGTACCTAACATTTTTTTCTGTGATTGAGCTTTTTATTTAGTTTAGTTTTCAATATTTAAATTTTAAGTAATCAATTTTATTTATGAAAAAACACTGTCGGACGTACCTTCCTACTTTCACCCTGAAATATTTAAAGTTTATTGTGATATTTAAAATGTCTCGACTCAGTAAATATACGAAGTTTTCTTAATAAATCGTGTTTGCAACATATCCGTGTTTATGCTAGTGATAAAATTCTTCAAGATCAGCTTAGATATTATCAACAAAAAACGCTTCTTACATATCTAAGACACCATAATATCTGGTAAAAAGAGTGTTTCCGAGAAGTTAATAACAAAATAGTTTAAAAATTTTAAACATTTTTCTGATAAAGCTTCTGACAATTAAAGTAGAGAACAACTACTTTTAATTATATGGTTTGTTGGTTTAAAGTTCAATAAGAGAATTTATCAGTTTCTTAGATTGCACAAATGGTGTTACTAGTGCGGAATATTTTATTTTTTGGTAAAAAATATTTCGGATTCCTTTTTATATATCATGAATTGTGATATGGTGGTGCTAGAGCAATTGATGGTCACACTAAAGATTTGTCCTCTTGTATTTTAAATCTAAATGAAAAAGCTGCATATGCTCATTGCAACACTTATAGACTTAATTTAGTTATTTGTGCCACATACAAAGTGCTGTATGTCAAGTATCTTTTTAGCACTCTATCATGTTTTGCAATATGACAAGTATTTTTTTTGGCACACTTTAATGAGGTATCATACTTTTTAAACTTGTACATACCAGGCAACAAATTTTAGAGGAGCATATTGAAAGTACCGTTCCATATTAAACATGTTGAGTGGAAAAGGTTTACTTTTTTTTGGATAGTTTTCAAGAACATAGTACTAGTTCCTACGAAAATGATGTCAGAAGTTCAATTATATCTTTTAGTGAATTTTATGAAACAGATCTACTGAATTCCCATGCTTTAATCTTGTGAGCTTCATTTATGTGAAGCATTTTAGTTAAATTTAAAAAGGTACTTTCAATATTAATATTACTGAGCTGTTAAAAGTAAATTTTCCTGGTTGTAAAAACATAAAAAGTTTACATGCTACATTTCCACTAACTTCATGTGAATGTGAGTGGATATATTATTCATTTTGGCGCCTGAAATATATATGTTAAGCACCCTGGTATAGTGCCAAACAATAATAACACCGATTTGGTGTTATCATTTTTATATATAAAATGCTAAGTTGTATTTGTTATAATTGGCAAATGCTTTTGGTTTTTAATTGATTTTTTTCAGTTTTTATGTATTTATCAGCAAGATTTATTAAAATGAATGTTTAAAGTTTTTTTTTTTTTAACAAAATGTGGCATTAAGAATGCATCTCTAAATACCTCTTTTTATAATTTAAAATTGCATATTTAATATACAATATTTTATTATAATTTGTGCTATTTTATAATATATTTGTTAAAATAGAAATATAAAATTTTGCATTGCGTAATTTATTTTATTAATGGTAATGTAAAAATATAGTTTTTAATATTAGATCTGTAAATGTGTAAATATATAATTTTATAATCTTAAAGTAAAGTGCCCCGGTGATAACCTCGCATATTTTTAATTGAAGAAAGGCTCTTATTAGATTAACTTAATAGACCTCTTTTAATAATAGACCTTGGTTAATCTTGATAGATTAACTGAAGATGGTCTTCCATATATATTTTTTGCTTTTCAACTAACGACTAGAGACACCAAAAAAAAAAAAAAAAAAAAGTCCTCAATATTTCCAATATGCCAAATATAGTTCAAGACTTGCTTAATGTGCTAACTCAAATGCTTGTAAGATATCTTTAAGGGAGGGGAGTGAGGGACACCACGACCCCCCCCATCCTTCAGGACGGCCCAGGGGAGGTGGTTAAAGATTTTTCCAAAAAATCAGATGTACCCAAATAAATTCCTGGGTCCGCCCCTGAAACTTTACTGTTCATATCCTTTACTTGTATAAGCACGAATGGCAACAACAAGCACGCTTTTGTAGGGAAGGTTTGTATCAAATTTTGTACACGTCGAAGTAAATATTGTGACCACTGTGCGGTTACGTAAAGTTATTTGAATTTCATACTTTGTGATATTTCCATTTGGAGTTGATGGTGGTTTCCATGTTAAGATTAAGTTTTGGTTTTTTATTTCATAAAGGTTGGCTCATTTGGTGCGAGTATTTCTGTCATTGCCCAAATAAAGTCACTAAAAGGTCCATACCCAGCTTTATTTTTTGAACGAGAGCAGATTTGATACCATGTAAATGGTTTCAAGTCTTGTATATGAAAAAACTGCTGTTCATCAAAAATTCCATCAACTTTGATTTTAAAAGTGTAGTTTCCTGGATTATATACAATCTCATAACTTGTTATAACATCTTTGTCTGGGTAGCGGTTATCATGTTTCACATAGCCTGATATAGTAGTTGCAGTTCTTGTAGTAGCCTCTATTGTCGGAGCACCGTCTGGACCTTAAATAAATAAAAACAAAATTAATATAAATAAAATAATGGCAAAACATTTTTTTCCAATTTTTTTATTTTTAAAAATGCAGGTTTCGAATATATACTTGTCATCATCATAATATTACAATATACATATATGTATATTGTATATTGTATATATATATATATATATATATATATATATATATATATATATATATATATATATATATATATATATATATATATATATATATATATATATATATATATATATATATAATTTATATACATATAAATTATATACATATACAAAAAATTTTCATGTTTACAATTATGTTTTGAACGAATATTGATTATTTAATTAAAGTACTTTAATTGGTTTAAAAAATAAAGATTTTGAATGTTTTCAAAAAATTGAGGACATTGAGGACAGAAAAATACTGAAAAATTGTTAATTTATTGACGTTGTAAACAAATACTTAAAAAATACTTAAAAAATTTCATTTATAAGTTGTTGAGGTCACAGGGTAAAAGAAATGTATAACAATTCTAATTAAAAAGTTGATAGATAAATGAGATCAAATAAAAATCGGTTTTGTACCGCTTTATGGAGCCAGTAAGTCTGCTAATGGACAAATTATGAAGAAATTTGAATTTACTGGATCCAACAAGATTTCAAAACAATCAGGAAGACCACGCAAAACAACATATCATTAGGATAAAAAGTTTGTGATACTAAGCAACAAAAAACCCCATTTGACAGCTGTTGATTTAAATGAACAAATAAAACGTTTTTATTGAATGAATTGTAATATTTCAAAAAAAAAAAGTTTATGCAGTTCAGATCAGATTGAATCAAGTTTGGTTGACGTCCATTAGATATAAAATATGATCCTAATACCCAACTGCTTACTGTAAAACATGGAGGAGGTAATGTAATGGTTTTGGGATGTTTTAGTCGGGGCGAAGTTGATTGGACGCATATATATACTGAAACTGTTAATCAAGAAATTTACAAAGACATAGGTAAGTGCATTATGCAAGGATAAAAAACTTTGTGGATAGATTTACTATCTAGATAACAATCCTAAACACAAAGGCAAATCGTTGCAAGAATTTTTCAAGAGGATTAAAGTTTATTTTTTGAAGTGACTATCCTGATCAATAAGATGCCATTAATCATTTATGTGAACAAGTTATGCATCTTATATATATACTTCTATCTCTTCTTCTATATATACTGAAAAATAAATGCAATCAATTCCCATTAATGTTTGCATTAATTTAGTTGACTTTACGCTTGGAGTTGCAAAGTCATTCTCAGTTGTAAAGATAGCCCTACAAAATAGTAATGTAAATTTGCATTTCTAATAAATTTTGATTGAATATTGTTGAAAAAGTTCTACTTTTTTAAATATATTAACGTTATGCCCGCAAATTTTTGAACTCATCAATAATTGTTATTATTTTAATTAAAATACCTTGATTAAATAATTTTTGTTCAAAACATAATAGGAAACATGAAAAGCTATCAGTTGGTATATAAAATGTTGGATTTAGTGAAACATGTGCTGAAATATTGGTAAAATTCAACTTTTTTTGGCCAACTCGCAAATTTTTGGATACTACTGTATATAATTTTCATGCACACATGGAAAGGATTTTAATAATAATTCTAATTATTTATTGTTTCTAATTTTTTTTGCAATTCTATTTAGTTTAATTACAAAGTAGTATTAATGAAAAAAATTTATTTCTTTTGAGTATTGAGCACCTAATATTAGTACTGAAACACTTTGTGACTTGCAAATAGAGGTTCTTTCAAGCACTCTACTACTTCATCTTTCATCATGCAATGCACAGCATGAATCTTAATTATTAAAAGATGTTTAGTTTATGGGCCTACAACATTTAAAGCACAATGATAACTACCAAATTTGTGTTAATCAGTTGGTTGTATAGCGCCTGGAGTAGGTCAGCAACTCTTTTTTCAAAACTCTCGTATAATGCATTTAACTCACTAATTGTAAAAGTAACATTTTTCTTAGCCCTCATCTTGCTTCTAAAAGTTTTGCTCTCAAATCTGGGATCAAAGATTGTCGCAAAAAAATATATTGATTTTTTCTCGAAGACCTTATGTTGATGCAAAGATTCACTCAAGACATTTTAATTTAGTCTCCGACGTTCAAGCAATTCTTTTATAAATTTAGCAAGATTGGTTGCATTTTGAAACAATTATGGAAAAGGTACCAGGTCGAGACTAATGTGAATTTGACTTATATCATATTTCTGTGAAACTTTTAAGCTCATATAATTAATTGTTATACTTACATGGTCAGCTTTATTTTACCAAAAAAAAATTGTTATGTTATCTAAATATAAAAATTAGAATTTTTGATAAAAGAATTGAGAAGTATTTTTCACCTGGAATTGTATACTTCATTTCGAAATCTATAGTAACCTTATGAAATCAAAATTCTCTACTAACGGGTGTTAGGATAGTAGAGTAACAGCGTATATCATTTCAGCAATACGCCTAGTAATTTTTATTAGCTTTTATAGATGTGAGGGGCATAGTATTTGCTAACATTTGCGTTTTTAGTTGATTAGGAGATAAAGATCTAGACCTTATTTTACCAGAACTTAGTGTTGAAGTAGGGCTTCTTTTCAATATTTAGGTCCCTGCATCCTCATATTTATATCTGGACTTGTGAATAACCCTACTTCAAAAATAGGGTTATGATTGGATCAAACAGGCAATTCTACATTGGCGTCATCCTCACATACACAAGACAATTAGTGATATCTTAATCATATTTCTGATTTTCCTAATTTGAAAAAAGTTTTTAAAAATACTCAATGTTTTATATGAAAAAGAAATTCTGCCAACACCCCTGCATATGAATGTTATGCAAAAGTTGCATATTACAGGGCTATTGTCATTTTACTTAATTGCAAAAAAACCATACTTTGTTTTTCTTTTGTTTTAACATTGTAATCAATCAATCTGAAATAGTTGTTGTTAGATGTTGGTATTATATCAATTAACTCTAAATAATGATGAAAAAAAAAAACGATGTTTGTAAGAATAGAAATAATATTTTTATTGTTACTAATATTATTATTGCTATTATTACTACATAAAACTGTTGTTACATTATTATTGTTTATTTACAGTGTTGTTATATTATTATTGTTTATTTGCAGTGTTGTTACATTATTATTGTTTATTTACAGTGTTGTTACATTATTATTGTTTATTTGCAACACTATTATTTAACATTTCATTATCATGTTTATTATTAAAATAATAACAATAGCAATCAGGCCCGCCCAGAGCTTTTGTGATGCCCGGGTCCAAAAGTTTAATGGATGCCCTATCTTACTTCAGGTCTTAAAATGACAAATACAAAACAAATTAGTATAGTTAGTTTTTGTTTACTTTCATAGAAAATCTGAAACCACATTTAGTAAATTTTGGTTTTTAAAAACAAACTATGGTAAAATCAAGTCTTAATATCGAACGCATCTTTCTGGCCTTCTTATCGGCAAAAATAACTACTTGATAAGAAACGTTATTGGCTAAATCTGATTTAATTGAAAGGATCATCAAGTAGCACAATCGCTTCTGGTCCATTGTGGAATGAAGATAACCTTTAAAGATAGTTAACTTATTGAAAGATCTTTCACCTTCAGATGTTGAAACGGGAAATATTTGGAAAATTGTAAGTGAAACACACCCTAGTGAAAATATTGAATGCAATCCCTTTGCATAAACTTCATTTAGATGTTCGGCAGGCTTTTTGCTGCCTAGAATAATTCTTCTTACAGAAAAAAAAAAGCAAAACTTCATCAGAAAATTCGTTTTTACATAAGTCTTCTGGGTGATGTTTTGCGAGATTCTCAGCTTTTAAACCTAGTTCTTTGTCTGTTTGAGATTTCTGTGAAGACCAAAGGAAGGAAAACTTGTTACATTCCACTTGTATTACTTTAAATCTTGATTTCATTTGAATAGTCAGATTGCCGAGTGCAACATTGAAGACATTAGCCTTGACTACGACAATTTTTTGTGTCGAACTCAATCTTTTCCAACTCATTCAATATCAACTTTGTTATATCAGATCCTTTCTTCTTTTCAAGTTTTTCTAGTTTAAGGAACCTTTCTTTGACCTCCCACAGATGATTATCACTGAAATGCAAAAAACAAAAAATGAAAGTAATTTGACTGCTGTGTGACAAATCGTCAGTGCTGTACGTGGTGATAGTGAAATATATTGATTTTTGATTTCTCAAATACCTTCTAAAACCATACTCGATAAACTCATTCTGAAAATTTCAGGACAAGTAATAAACTTGCTACGCTTTTCTTTTTCTTGGTGCTTAGCTATAATCTCTAAGAAATTTCATTCTTAAACACTTTTTGATTGGATCCTAATTGCAAACAAAAAGTTATCAAAATAGTAATCCATATTTATATCCAATTATAAATTATAATTTTGATTTTTAAATTATAAATAAAATAATGCAAAATATAATTTAAAATTCAAAAACAATATTCTTAATCCTAAACGCTAAATTTTATTAAGTTAGAAAAATTGTGACATCAAGAATGCATTATAAAATTACTTTCTATCGCTTTGTTTTATCTCTAAAAGAACTTTTACCGTTATTTTTTTTTTTGCCGTTAAATAAGAAAATTTTTTATTTTATTATGCAAGCAAAAGGGCAACGAAAACGCATGTGTTCAAATGGAAAATGAAAACCTTGTAAAGTAATAATTATCCTACTTTAAATATAAACAAAGTTTTAAAGGAGAACAAAATTATTACACAAAGTTTGCTTAAGCTTTAAATATGTTATCGTCTAAATTTTTTGTTATTACAATAATTTTTAAAGGCATATGTGATGCCCCATAGACTGTGATGCAAACTACTTCAATTGCCCCTCCCTCTTGGCGGCCCTGATAGCAATAGTAACAATAATAATATCTTTCAAAATGATTTTTTTTTTTAATTATTAATATTATTAATTATAAGAATAATGCACTTAAAAAAGGCATATCCTAACAATGATTTATTTGCAAAATACAAGCAAAATTGAACTTTAATGATAATTAATAAAAAACAACTAAAAGTTTTGAAAGTCAAATATATATTTATGTGGTGTGTTATTAAAACCCAGACCATAGTTTTTATGGAGATCATAGTTTTTATGGAGATCAAGAATAATAGATTAATAATACTTTTAATAGATAGTTCAAAAAATTTCTTTCAACTCCAAGGAAAATATATTAGAGCTGAACCTGCTCACTGTAGTCATATTGTGGAGCTTCTGATTGCATTGCTTCTTAGAAAAAAATGATTTATCATCAGTACAAATATCATCAAACATTTCATCAAAGTGGTTGCCAGGTATTTAAAATCAACCTTGTTGATAAATGGCAAAACATTTTGAAACCATTCAAATATGTTACTATAAGAACCACTTAGATGGTCCAAAAACAGTTGTAAACACATTTGTGAAAATGACCTTAAACACACGATGGAAACAATCAATTCTTATTAACTCCTTTTTTTATTTTATTGGAATTTTGCATTTAAGTTCTAATAATTTATTTGATAGTGAATATAACATTCAAGTTCAAATAATTTATTTGAAATTGAATGTTATATTTTGCTACAAAATACTCTTATATCATATATACTTAGCCTAGGAATATCATATTATCTTAGCATAGGAACAGACAAAAATAATCTTATATCTCTTAATATACTCTTAATATATAATATACTCTTATATCATATTAGCTTAGCATAGGAACAGACAAAAATAATCATAAAATCCAAAGTAGCAACTAATAATGTCCAATATTTTTGCATACTGAACTGCATAGCATACTATTTAAATGCATGCAATTTGAACTAATACGCAACAGTCTGGGTTTTAACATTTCATGAGATGCTCTAACCAACTGAGCCACTATCTAAAGCTCTTTCAAAATTATATTCCTTTTTGTCAGTATTCAAACCAAGCCTCACTCTACTCAACGGTAAAGAACCTTTCTTAAAATTTATCTCTTGAATCTTATGACCACACTCTTCACCATTAGGTTATAACTCCTTTTTCTATCTGAAACAAGAATGGCAATATGATCAACAAATTTTTCTGCTTTTGTTTCTATTATATGTAATTTTTCATCATTTATAACTATTGCAACCTCATTCATAATAATTTTTTTCCTTAGTTTTGTTTTCTTTAATTTTGAAAGATGTCTTTGAAATAAATTCTTTAAATAAAATTTATTGAAGCAATATTTGGATCTAAAATAAATACAACAATAAAGTGAATAATTTAAAAACAGTTTAAAATTAATCTATTTAAAATTTATAAAGATTTTTTTCAACATTTAGTCCACCACTAAATTACTTGACATTTAGCTGTGTTTTTAAAAAAGTGAAATAAACTTTATCTAAGTAAACAAAGAAATATATATATTTTTCTTGAGCCAGCAAGCACTTTTCTCCAGATGACCACCAGGTTTAAAGTCTCTGTATATATCAATCAGATCGATAAATTAACACAAGCTATGTTATCTTACAAATCATAACTATTGGACTAATAAAATGTGATGACCATCCATGTTAACCAAGTACTAATTTTTCATTAAACATTTTTAATCATGCTTATTACCATAAAATATTTCAATATCTAAATATCAAAAACATTTTTTTATACAGAGTATATTTAAGTTTATTTACATTAAAACTAACTGCATTAGATTTTATCCTCATAATTTTTGTGTCATCATATATTAGGATGGTCATGATAATAAATAAAATGTTTTTAAAAAAAGTAGTCAAAAGTAAAAATTTGATCAACCAGAAAAATATCATCCAGGTTTGTTAACCTTGAAATTTTGCTTTTTAAAAAATGCCTATAGAAATTAAAACTACCTCAGAATACTCTTCTTCTTAAAAGCAAAATTGGATTCAATGGTTTAACTGGATATATTTGTTTATAAATAGACAACTAAACAAATGACAATTATTAGACAACTAAAATATGACAAATAACAATTATTAGACTAACAAATTACAATTATTAGACAACTAAATTAGACAACTAAAATATGAAAAGGACAGATTGTCAGCTCTAGTTCTTACTTCATTAAATAAATTTTTACCAAGTTTACAATCTTTGGGGATTAAAAAAATCAATTAAGTTATTCAATGATTCACCCTCATTTTTGAAAACTGTTTTTCCATACAACCACAATCAAAAAGAAGCAATTTGTTGCAACTAGAAAAGAAGAATTTCTTAAAAAATTTAAGATATACTTGAACTTGTTAATGATTGGAGAAGTGGCTCTGGTGAAATGATAGAAACACAGCAAAATGAGAATTTAAAAACCATGAAACCTAAAATACTTTGATAAACCTTAGGTAAAATAGTTTGATACCAAAGATACTTTGATAAGCTTTGATAATATACATTGATAAAGGTCTTGTTAAATAATTCAATAATATCCTTGGTGTTTTGTCATCTAAGCACCAAATAGACCACTATCAATTTAAAACATATTGTAAAGATATATATAAGACATGTAACACATTTAGAAAGCTATTGCATGCCCACTAAAGTTCACATGATTATCACATTTTTACACGATTGCTCATATTAGTTTTAAAGATTATCCATTGACACCAAGTTGTAAGAACCAAGTCAATCCTAATTGGCCATCCAGAAGAATGTTTAAACCTTGCCCTTCCAGAAGAATGTTTAAACCTTCATTTATAATTTTTAATTATATATTTTAAAAAAATTAATTTTTTTTCTATTTAGTATTAATATAAATACATTTTTTTTTTAAATGTAATTCACCTCCTCAAGGTCAAGAGGGTCACTACAGTTGAGGAAGCTACTTATAGTGGTTACAACCTTCTCTCAACTCTTTAAAACTCAAAAATGCGAACCTTAAAGAAAAATGTCACTGCAAAAACTAAATATATTTTTGAAAAAAAGTCACATAGAATTTCATACCACATAAGAGAACTATGGCTAAGCCATTTAAATAAAAACTGTTTACATAGATGAGTTTTTGACTTTAAGAAATATATATATATATATATATATATATATATATATATATATATATATATATATATATATATATATATATATATATATATACATATACATATATATATATATACATATATATATATATATATATATATATATATATATATATATATTATTATATATATATATATATATATATATATATATATATATATATATATATATATATATATATATATATATATATATATATATATATATAATACAAGGAAGGAGTAGTCTAAAACGGTGAAAAATTGCGTGACAATTTGTGGACAACCGCTAACTATAGTTTTCATCTGAATGATTGCTTAACATGAGGACTACTGAATAGGCATGGCTTAATAATTTTAATTTTTATTTTTATTAATTTTGCTGTTTTTTTTTTAAATTAGTAAAAAATAACAAGGGTATGGCTTTGTTTGGCTTAACTGTTGTGCAGTTTTGACGATGTGTTTTAGACCTTGAGTGGCTGAGTAAAAAGTTTTCTCGTGAATTTCAGTTATAGAAAACATACTTGCTTAAGTGCATACGTTATCGTATTTAAAATTTATATAATTTTTTCACAAATTATTTACAAAAAACATTCAGAAATTTCTGAAAAAAAGTTTCAGAAAAACAAAAAAAATTTAAGAAAAACAAACTTAAAGGGTTTTTAAGTAAATTTTCAGAATTCCAGGAATTCCCCAAAAAAACTCATCTATGATAGGTCTACTTTTCAAATTTTATTTGTTATTATTTTGTTAAATGTTCACTTAACATTAGTAATAACATACAACTAGTAAACAACCTTGAAATCTAACATTGTATATTCAAAAAAACAATGGGTAGTGTAAAATTACATCATGCATTTATAATGCATTTTATTATGCATATTACTATTTTTTGAAAAGTTTTAAAAAAATATTTAGTTTTTTGTAAATTATTAAAAATTCTAAAATTACTTACGACTTTGTGATGTTCTTTGTTGTAATTAGCTTATGTTGGATAAAAGATTGTCATCATTGAACACCACCACTGATATGTTATAATAAGTTCATGGTAGTAAATCCCTTATCAAAATAGAACTGAAAACTCTTAATGGAAAAGTTAAGTTAGTGGTTTGAATGGCACTTTGAAATTGCTTTCCATAAAGCTGAGTGACGTAAATATGGCAACCAATTAACTTTCCGAAATTTGGATTCTCAAACTTTGCCTAAAAAAACAATAAAAAAAGTCACATCTCAACATATAAGAGAGTGAACCACACATTATAAGAGGTAGATTGCAACATTCAAAATATGGACAGACATTAACTTTTAAGTGGATAGAACTTAACATATAGGAGAGTAGAAATTAGAACTAAATATATTTCATAGAAAAAATATCAAATGTTTTTCAATTAAAAAAAGTTGTTTATTTTTAAAAAAAAGTCACAACATATAAGAGAGTAAACTTCAAATGATAAGACCCCAATATTTAAAAATGGGATAGATACTTTTAAGTGTGTAACAATTTTTTAAATCTTAAGGTCTCTATAACTTAACTTAAAGGAGAGTAGTAATCAAAACTAAAAATCTTTATAGAGAAAACATGAAAATTTTAGCTATGGAAAAAAATGCTTTCTTTATTTAAAAAAAGTTTACATTTAGAACTTGCTTATAAGAACAAATCAGAGCATTATACATATGCATAATTAAATAATTAGAATATAATAAATAAGTATAATTAAATAATTAGAACTTTAAAATAATAAGAAAACAACACTTAATACATAAAAAGAAAAAGAAAAAAATACTTAATACATAAACATAAATAACTAGTATATTGTACGTAAACATAACAGGATCCTTAAGTGTTGAGACAAGTTGTGTTAATAAATAAAAGTGTTTAGAAAAGTTTTGTTATATAAAAAAAAAAGTTGAGACAAGTTGTGTTAATAAATAAAAGTGTTGAGACAAATTGTGTTAATAAATAAAAGTGTTAAGACAAGTTATGTTAATAAATAAAAGTGAGACAAGTTGTGATAATAAATAAAAGTGTTAAGACAAATTGTGTTAATAAATAAAAGTGTTGAGACAAGTTGTGATAATAAATAAATCTTATATTAGCTCTTGTAAAGTTTATCATCTACAGGTGTTAGATGCACCACATCTACAGATGTTAGACTCACCACATCTACAGCAGGGTAGCCATTCAAATTTGAAAATGAAAATTCTTGACTTTTTTATGACTTTTCCATGACTCTTCATAAACTTTTATGATAAACCACTAACTAGTAATTTATTAAGTACTTGCCATGCACTAAGCATTTGGTAGAAAGTTCTGAAATTATTTTTGAAAAAAATTTTTTTGTTTCACTTCTCTAATAATCTAAAACTCACACTGCAAAAATATCTTTCTCAAAAAGGAATTAGACTAGACATACTAGTACTTTTATTTGCATCCTAAAAATATCACAAGCAGAAAAAAATAAAGATCATTTATAAAAATTCAATAAAATTTTCCAGGCCTTTCAATAAAAATTTAGCAATTCCATGACTTTTTCCATGACCAAGTAAAATTCCATGACATTTCCATGACCAATGGCCGCCCTGTACAGGTGTTAAATGCACCACATCTACTGGTGTTAGACTCACCACATCTACAGGTATTAAATTCACCACATCTACAAGTGTTAGACACACCACATCTACAGGTATTAGATGCACCACATTACATTATATGCATAGAGCAAAAAAATTTATTATTATTATTATTATTATTATTATTTGTATCGAAATACAATTTCAAGCTATTGTTATTCTTAGCTATTCTTAGCTCTAAACACTCCACTTCTATGGTTTCTCTGCAGAAGACATATCTAATAAAGGTACATCTCCAAATTTATTTTAACAGGTGTTAGACTCCCCACATCTACAGGTGTTAGATGCACTACATCTACAGGTGTTAGATGCACTACATCTACAGGTGTTAGAAGCCTGGTGTTCAGTCAAGGAGGAGGCAGAAAAAGATAGAATAAAACTAAGCTACTAACGAAGTGGTTGGTTACAAAGAATAGTTTGTAACAAGCCAACTTGGTTTTTAATTAATCTACAAACATTGGTTTTGCAAAACCTAAAAGAAAAATGAAAGCAAAAAATTAATATTTTTCATATTGCTAAAAATGAGGTCAGAATTTTTTTTTTTGCTGTTACATCTGAACTCAGATGACACCAGAGAATAGAAAAAAGATATGTGTAAAAAGAATTTTTTGGGACACCCTAATGGACAAATCATTTACAATTTTGCTCTCAAAACAAGAAATATACTTCTTGTTTTTTAAAAACACTGGATTTACGATTTTGCATAGTAAAATTATTGTGGAAGCTTTTACCAATTAAAACAGTAGAATTTGAAAATACCAATTTATTTAAAGATAAAAAGACTCAATGCAGTAGTAGACTGATTTAATTTTAATTTTATTTAAATAAAAAAAATTATTTAAAAATTAAATTAATAATTTTATTAAAAAATTGTCCATACATTTAAGATTTAACTTTTTGATTATTAGGGTAATATGAACACCTTTAGTGAAAATTGGAATATTTTTGAAAATAGTTTTGCTGGATCCAAAATATAGTTTTGCTGGATCCAAAATATAGTTTTGCTGGATCCAAAATATAGTTTTGCTGGATCCAAAAAATAGTTTTGCTGGATCCAAAAAAATTTCTCATGATCCACTTACATTCGTTGGTTAAAAAATTACGTTGGGCACCCAAAATTTTTTCTCAAAAAAACAGAGGTTTTAAAAAAAGTGCTCATACTACCAGACCACTTGGTAGTTTGAGCACTTTATATTAGCTTAAAAAAATAACATTTAGTAAAAAAAATACCAACGTGACAATTAGAACTAATTTTTGAAATATAATAATTCGTTATTAACAAAACTTATCATTAAAAGATAAAACTTTAAGCCACTTTTTGTTGAAACAATACAACTATGTTTTCTGCAAAAAAAAAAAAAAAAAAAAATTAGTTTGTTATTTTTTCAATTTTGTTAACAAAAACCTTTGAGCTATAAAAATTAAAATTTTTACTATGTTTTGTTTTTATTTAAAAAGCAATTAAAACCACTGCTTTTTTAGGACTTTAACCTAGGTTTATGTTTATGTATATATATATATATATATATATATATATATATATATATATATATATATATATATATATATATATATATATATATATTCATATTGTTTTTATTTTGTTTGTTTTAAATTGTTTTAAACTTTGGCTTTATGTTTTGTATGGTTCTATTTTAATTTTATGTTATTTTGTTTTTTTGAGTTTCTTTGCTTAACTGCTAGGAGCTTTTGTTAAAAGATTTTTTTGACTTTATTTGACTTTATCAATGAAGGGTTCTACCAATTTATATATTTTAATATTGGCATTTATGTAGTTAGCTAATGTTTAAATTTTCTTTTTAATGTTAAGCATTTATGCACACTCACCAAAATTTCTATAGTTTTATGTAGTTATTGCAGAATTTATGCAGAAGTTATTTATTAACCTCAATAATTATATTTTTTAGACCTATTGCAAAAGCGTTTATGATAATTTTATGTGTTTCTGAAACAATTGTAACCAAATTATTTAGAATTTTTTTTTAAAATCAGGTATTTATATGTAAAGTTTTCTTAGTTCCATCAGTTATTTTTATTTTTTTATCAGGTATTTTTTACACTTAAGATGAGAGTTAAGAAATGAGATTTTATTGAAGTTTGAATAAGTTTTTAATTTGTTTGTTCTATATGGAAGTATTTACAATGCCATCAGGAAGGGTGTTAAATGAGGAAGAAAAAGCAAAAATTGTTGCTTATGAAAATATAGGTTTGTTCAATCAACAAATTACAAAGAAAATCAAAAGATCTCATGTAGTGAACAAATTTATAAACTTAGGTAAAAATTACAACAAAAATCACCCTAAGGGTGGAAATAAAAAAATAAACAGAGAGCAACATTCTTCCATTTTGTGTTTGGTGTCATCTGGAGTACAAACAACAAGACAAATAAAGACTGAACTGGAACTACCTGTGACCTCAAGACATGTCCAACAAATTTCATCAAAATCAGGGCAATTCCAGAGGAAAAAAATGAATACAAAACCACTACTGACGAAAAAACATAAAATTGCAAGATTTAAGTTTGCCAAATGGAAAATGTTAAAAATGGGAAAATGTTATTTTTTCTGATGAAAAAAAGTTTAAATTAGATGGGCCTGATGCTTTTAAGTATTGTTGGCATAATTTGAAAAAAAAAAAAAGATAGCATTTCAATGAGGTGTAATTTGCAGAAGGGACGGTTATGATGTGAACTGCATTTTGTTTCCACAACAAAGTTCCAATTGTTATGTTACAACAAAAACAAAAGCAAGAAATTACGAAGATCTTTTAGAGCATATTTTAACCAAGTTTAGTGAAGGTTTACCTACTGAGAATAGAATTTTCCAACAAAATAATGTGCCAATTCACACAACACAATATGTAAAACAGTAGTTCCAAAAAAAAAATAAACATGTTTTGAATTGACCCTCAATTTCGCCCAACTTGAATACTATTGAAAGTTTATGGAGAATACTGCCACGAAATATGTATAAAAATTTTAAAAGTATAATGTGATACAATAGTTTTTCAAATGTTTGTTTGGAAAATCTTATAAAAAGTATAAAAAATCGAATCTTCAAATTAATTAGGGTAAAAAATTGTACTACACATTATTAAAAACTAAAATAATCAAAAATTATTATCAAAAACAAAAATTATAAAAGCTTACTTTTGATGGAACTATAGAAATTTGAAATATTTCTAACTTTCAAGTATTTACAAAATAAATGAATAATTATTTTCTACTAAAATATTATTTGCTTATTTATTTTTCACAACTCCTGTAATAATCAAAACAAACAAAAAAATGCAAATACTTCAAGAGATACTGGTTGGAGTAAACTAAATTGTTCTGTTTTATGGATATTTAAATATTACACTTATAAAATACTAAATAGAAATTAGTAACTGGTGGATATTTTAAAAATAAATTCCATTTTTATTTATTTTTTTGCTAATTTACCTCCCCAAGCCTGAGAAGGCCACTAGAGACCAGAAGACTACTTAATTGTGGTTATAACCCTCTCTCAACTCTTTAACTCCAAAACACTAACCTTGACAAACAAGGCCGCTGCGCAGAGAAACAAGTTGAGTGCGGTACTACCAGGGATGTGGTGGGGATCAAACTCTGAACCTCTCGCTTATGAAGCAAGCGCTCTACCACTACACCACATATAAAGTAATAAAAATAATAAAATTTTATATCTGGTTATTGATATTTCCTGGTAGCAAATATCAATCATTTATAATATAAAAACTCAAATCACTGATATCCGCAACACATTAGAAGTTAACTATAAAAATAAATTATTTTCAAAAAATGCAAAAATAAGCATCAAAGGACTAGACGGAGCTGTCAAATCCAAGTGAAAAAAAATTAGGAAGAATTAGAGAAAAGGTATTTTCTTGTATTCACTTTGATGGAGGAGGTGACAAAATCAATTTAATGACATTTAATAAAGAAACTAAAAATTTTTATTATCTTATTAAAAAAAAAGATAACTATACTTTGAGTGATGGTAAAACATTCTTCATTATTTAACCAAAGGAGAATAATGTGGTAAATAAAAAATTAATTCTGCTAACATAAAGAAAATAAAATATTACAATTGTCTATTTTGTTTAGTGTTAAAGATAACTTAAAGTACATTGATTGTGATACAACAGTTTAAAATGGTGTTATCCATTGTTTAGAGATTAAATTAGAAAGAAAATTAGCTCATATGTTATATGGCTCATATGTTCTCTTCACACAAATGAACTTTGCTTTCGGTATTTGATAGAAATGCTTGATGGGAAGACAACTTCAAAAACAGGGTTTTCTGGGCACGTTTGTAAATGGCTTTCTAAGGATACTGAAATAAAAAGAAATTACAGTTTCAACCAATATTTATAGGTTTAATTGAACTTGGTGAGAAATTAATAAAAGAGTTATCTTCAGATCAAAAATATTCTTATAAAATATGCCAGACAATAATTTTAGGAACTCATACTAAAGGTTTGGCTAACCAAATAATAGGCACTATAGTCCATTCAAGGTGGCTCACATGTTCTTTCTCAATTTTATTGTGGATATGCAATCGTGAATTAGAGAGAGCTGACCTAAAAAACTTAGAATTAATTTTTAAGCTTCTTGTATCAGTATATTTCTCTATGTAGTTCCAAATCAAAGTGAAGCATTAATTGGATAGAAGGGCCATAACAAATCTTGAACCAACTCACGCTTATAAAACTTCAAGATAAAAATTTACAAAAAGTTATTAAAAAGTATGTGAGATTTGAGAAAAGGAATTCTTATTCTGAAATCTTATTGCAAACATACTTTGCAGCCAAAATAAAATTGAAAGGGAATTTGTTGTTATCAAAATTGTTAAAATTTGAAAAAAAATGAGGAAATTAGAACCTTAGCTCAAAGAACACACAAGCTTCCTCATTTAAACCTGTAGGCAACCAAATTAGCTAAGTTAATAACATGGGAAGAGGCCTATGAATCTTAACCTGTCAAATAAACATTAATGACCTAAATTAATCCTGTATAATAAATCCTATGGTAGTTCCAAATTTCCCTGTTCACACACATGAGTTGAGAAGACATTTAAAGAGATAAAATTAATTTTCCCTGCTCTTAATAATATATTAGTTGTTAAAAAAGTAAAAAAAAATTTTAAACGTTCTTAAAAATACTTTTTAAAACAAGTTGATTTTTAAGTAATTGCAGCTTCTAAAACAGTCTTTGGTTTTGAGAGACAAAACGGATATATCCGTGCAAGAGTAGAAAATAAATCGATAGTGCCTTGTTACAACTGCAAGAAAAATCTCATTAAATTTTTCAATTTTAGCATTCATTTTTTTCAGGAGGGAAAGGGAGGGCTAGGAAGGAGGTTTAAGAACCACTCTAAGTATTTTTAAACTGTTCTTTATTTATCCACTTTAATGAAAAAATCTTTTTTACTATCTTTATAATATAATAGACATATAAGATTTTGGTTCCCCTACCCATTTGAGTTATGTTTTAAATAATTAAGATCTATTTTTGCAAATGTTGTGTATATATATATATATATATATATATATATATATATATATATATATATATATATATATATATATATATATATATATATATATATATTAGGGTATTCTATACTTTTTAACTTTCAATAAAAAAATCCTAAGGGCCGACTTTTTTAATGAAAGTTGAAAAGTACAGGATACTCTACTATATATACAGACACATAAACAACCATTCACACACATACATATACTGCAATACAAATATATATATATAAACCAAAGGAGAAAAGCAGAAAGATAATAAAATGGTGTTGTAAGATTCAATTAAAATTAAGTAGTGAACTAATGTAGATGAAATACCATCCTCAGGGCCAAAATATATTCACCAATGATGTTTCAGAGAGCCTGACAAAAAATGGCTAGCATCGCTTGTCAGGGATGAATCCTTGTTATCTTTATATCTTTATCATTACCTATAGGCTACATCCTTTCAGTCATTATAAAAATAAAACGGACCTCATTACAGAAAAGCAAATCCCCTACCAAATTTAGGCAACAACAATAATTTTTAGAAAAAAAATGGGTATAGAAACAAACATGCACAAAAAGTATTTCCATTTAATCTGTTAAATATAAATACTAAAATAAAAACTTACACATTAAGATTTAAAGCCCACATAATACAAAAAATATTCAATACCTAATAAAAAAAAGGTAAAATGATAGATAAGTATCTAACCATTTCAATAAGTTAATAAAATTTTTTTAAAAATAGACAACTAGTTATGGTAGCTGACAAAACTGAAAACAAAACTGCTGTCAAGAAAAACAACAAGATGACTTAATGACATCAAACAAATAAATATTTTTTGTGATTCTATTGGCTACAAATATGTTTCAGGGAAATGCATAGTTCAACAGCTATTAATAGTACTCTAATGCTAATAAAATAACCAGGTAATTAAATAGCAATAAAGATATAACGCTTTTATTTCATATCGTATAGAGTAAAGCCTATGAAACAGTCATCAGGTAATTATGATAAAGTGTTAAGCTTATAAACAGTAAAACATAATTTAGGTATAGGGTTAAGCCTATAAAATGGTCTAAATGTGCTTATGGAATATGTTTGCCCTAATGTGTAGTAAATATAAATATCATGTGTAGTAATCATAAATATCATAAGATATAATTATATACCCAAGTTTAGAACAACTTTTGCAGCATTATCAACACTTTAATGAATCTACATTAGATCTAAAAGGCAATTGAGGCAGTAATTCTTGTAACTTATGAACTTGTTATCATAATAATTCTTTGTTTCCATCTATTTCCATAATTATTATTTTTTTATACTGTTTTTCAACTTTTTAAAGTGTACTTGATTATTGAGCTGACTTTTAAAAAATATTAATAGAGAATGTTAATGTTATTTTTTAATTATAATAATACTGTTATTTTATTTTTATATTAATTAAAAATTTTATTTAACCTAAATGGTTCCAATAACTAAAAAATTCAAAGTTGATTTTGATTGAATCTCCAGTCTTTAGAAAAGACTGGAGATTGCATGCATAGAAATTTGAAGTTTTGTGGAAGAGTTCTATGTTTTAGGTCGAAAGTTGAAGAATGAAGATGAAGAAGTTGTTGAAGATGTTGAAGAGTGAAGAGAAAAAGTGTAAAATCTTTTGTTTTTAAAGCATTTGGAAGATGCAGTCATTTTTGAATCTATTTTTAAATTGTCCTTTTTATTGATAAATATTTCATATCATCTGATTTAAATTTGCTACTTTGTTTTTGTATTTTTTGATTAATTTTTTCATAATAAACCAACTTTTTATCACTGATTACAATTTTCCACAAAAATTACTTTTTTTTATAACTTGCCATATGAGGAATACATATCCATATCACGTAAATGTAACGTAATGTATTTTCCATGTTTTACAACAGTCGTATGATTAATTCCTTCAATTTAATTTTAATTAGTTTTTTTATTAGCTCTCTTTTCAATTAATGTCTTCCTCAATCAATGCTTCTAACTTGTCTGTCTCTAGTTCTTGAGGCTTTACCACTCCTGATACTCAAGATTGAAATTTCCACTGCAAAACCTAACAAACTAATTTTGGCAAACTCGAACATTTGGAGCATTCAAAACCATAAACAGAACAAACTTTTTATATCACTTTCGCTGCATTTTTACATAACCAAAACTGTAAAGCATGCAATGCCTAAAAATTTTTTTTAATCAACATTTTTTAAATTACCAATTGCAACATAAAAAATATACAATAAGTATAGTACCTTTAATAGGTAATATACCTAGTCTGTATATGTCTATAGAATGTGTATCAAATTTGAATTAAAAAAATATACAAATTTACTTTTGCACTAAACTTAATAACCTATAAACATTTTCCAAAACTGATTTCTTGATCTAGTAAAATTCTCTCTTAAAACTGATTTCTTGTTCTAGCACCTTAAAGATTTCTTGTTTTAGCACCTTCTCTCTTAAAAGCATGATTGTAATAACTTAATATAATAAAGATAAAAATAAAGATAAAAACAACATTAAAAATTGTTGTTTATAAGGATTACTTTTTGCAAGTTTTAGTTAGTAAGCAGCTAAAGTATTGATAAGATTACAAACCTGTTAAATTATTTGTTAATGTAGGCATGTTACAATTAAGCAATAAATAAAAATGCTTTCTTGAAATATCTGTAAGATCAGGTATTGTCCAACCAAGCAAAACTGAAGTTGCTGATTTTTCCAAAACTATAAAATTTTTTAACTGTTTTGGCAATTCTAGATATAAATAAAATTCTAATAAATAAAAAATAAGTCATTGTATAACAAATACAATTAAAATAATTTTACAAAGTTATTTATATAATTTTTATTTATATAATTATATATTATAATACATTATAGCATAATGTATTTCAAAAATAATAGAATTGTTATCAATGTAATCAAGTAATAAACTTTATTGGTCTATTGTTAGACTTTAAACTTTCAATTTAAATTAAACTTTAAATAAAATACTAAATACTGCAAATACTAGTAACAGGTTTGCTGGTAATGAATTGACAAAACAAAAACTTGAAAAACTTGACATGGTTTTAATAGCACTTCTATGCTAATAAGAAGTGGAAAATTTTTTTTATTATTTCTTTATTTTCTATATAGTTTAGTCAAAAGTCAAAAAAAAAAAAAAAATGCCAAAATAAGAAAATATTTTGAACATGTATTTTTAGAACCCCTGCTTCCTATATATATATCAGTCGATGTAGCAGCACTCCACTGCGAGTCAGGCTATTTGTCAGTCGATGTATGTACTGAAGCCCCCAGCAGCAGACTATTTCAGTATGACGTCAGATTGCTTACCTTAGTACGCAATACTATTTGTATATATATATATATATATATATATATATATATATATATATATATCATACTTGAAGGTAGTTTTGTTCATTTAAATACTTTTACATTTTTGTATTTTTAGTAAAAATAATAATTTAAGACTGTACTGGAAAATCTAGAAAAAATATATAACCTTAAAAATCCATGACCTTACAAGCCTAATGCTGTATTTATTTATATGTATTTATAACTCATACTTATCAACTATAGTAAAACCACCTGCTTGAATAATAACAGTATCTTTAGAAACCACTTTTTGGTGTGGTGTTTTGTTACATTGAAGTAATCTATTAATGGTCACACAATAGTAATCTGACAAATAAGGCATTTGAACCAAGGTGACTTTGCTTGTACATAGCTTTTAGTAGAGTTGAGTTTTAGAGCTGTTCAAATAGACTGTTTGCTTTGGGTTAGAAAAACTTAATGTAAGTGAATAGTTCACCATGCCCTCGCTGTGACAACTCAATTGTGTTGGTGTATTTAAATATGCTTTTATTTCCTTTTGTTGCTGTTAATCTTATTCCGATTTATAAATTGTCAAAAAATTTTGATATTCAAAAAGGGTGGGCCGCCTAAGGTCTAAAAACTCCAAGTTCAAGGCAAGCTATGACTTTAATATTTTTGGAATACGGAGCAAAACTTCAAAAAAAGATTGTTAATGATTTGTCAAAAATGATTGTAAATGGTTATTGATTTTCATTGATTCTATGTGGATGGAATTAAAAATAAATATGCCTAAAAATATATATGCCTAAACTTACTTATGTCAGATAACTTAGTTCAATACCTTTGAATGATAAGGATTGTGGGCTCAACAATCCTTATCATTCCAAAGACTGAAGATAATTAATAAATTGATCTTAAATTAATCAAAACAAAGCCTAAAGATTTTAATTTAAATGCTAATAGTCATATTTTTATCATGTCATATTTAGTGGAGACTTATCAACATCAGATGCAAATAAATCTCACACAAACTCTAAAACTTAAGAATTGAATAAACTCAAAAATCAAACTTAAAGGAATTGCTGACCTTTTTGTACAATTTGGTTCATGGATTAATCAAGTGAAACAGTATAATAAGGTCCATTTGATAACTTAAACAAATATTTTGAAAAAAATGGCAAACCTAAATGTTCCAAGATAAGATGATTTGGCAGGTCTACATTTGAAACATAAATTATTATGATTCTGGAAAATTATTTATGAAATAATTATTCAGAATCAATTTATATAAAATTTTCCAGAATCAATTAGTATGAACTCATTGAATATTTAAAATGATAATACTAGGCATCACAAAAACCTCATGTATTTATTAACATATTATTGATTTTTTTTTGGTTCCCTACTTGCCCTAAATTCTGACATATACTTAAAAACTGAAAAACTTTTAACATCTATTCAATATTTAAGCTGTTCATTATCAAGCCATTTTACTTAACAAAAACATTTATTTTTAGACATTTTTATTTTATTAAAAAAGAAAAACGATAAACAGTTTATTTCTATATATTATCATTAAAGTTAATCCAAAATTTTTTAAAAACATCTAATATTTTAAAATTAAAAATAAAAAAATATGCAAATTTAAAAAATATTATAAATCACAACTATAAAAATAACCTGAATTATCAAATTGTTAATTATCAAATTGATAATAATTGTTAATAGATAACTAACTGAACCTGGATTATCATAAGTTATTATCAGTTAAAAAATAACTAACTAAATTTTATTGTTTCTGGATACAAAAATTGTAGCTATAAATTTTTTTAAATTTAAAACCAAATAATTCATGTATGATTATGATTTAAGGAAGCTTTATTAAAGTCATAATAATAAAACGTTCTTTTAAATAATATTTTAATAATAATTTAATAATTATTTGATAATTCACTAAAATATAAGTTTTTTAAAACATTAAACAACTACCTAATTTTTTATGGATGAAGTAATTTGTAAAGAAGAAGATGAAAAATAATTGAAACAAGCAATAACAAATTAACAATTATTATACAAATTTCTAGGATTCCTTAGAATAATAACAAAAACCCAAGATTTTCAAGAGCTGTAAACAAATTCCAAAACTTTTCAGGATTTCTATCATAATTATTCATAAAAGAAATAAGAAAAAGTTGTATTAATGACCAAGCGCTTAGTTGCTAATACAAACAACAATATGTAAAATTTTAAAAAGAAAATCAGAAAATTGTTCCCTTTACTTACTTTTATTTTATCCGTATCAACAGAATAATCAAACCAATTTTTTTATCAATACTAAAATGAAGTGTGAAACTGTGTATCGTCAACATTGTTTTGTTGAGTTCAAATCCCTTGATGTCTAATCTTGTAACAGTTTTGATATTTGAAAAGTCAAACTGAAAAGCAGTTGGATAAAAAAAAAATGTTTTGACACTCGAAAATAATTAACTATATTTTTACTAGAACATGCAGTTGGGTAAATAGGATTTTAAAACTATTTAACCTAATACTTTTTAAATTAGATAAATGCAAAGTTAAATTACTATTTATTTATTAGAAATATTTTTATTTATTTACTTTCTATGAATTGAAAATTAGCTTTATTGGTTGATTTTGAATCAAGAATTAGAAAATGCTAGGATTTAAAATAGCTAACATATTTGTTAACATTTCTGTTCCTAATGTATGATAAATCATTATCACACGATTCTCTCATTCACCCAGTCAATCAACATAGTATAAAGAGAGGAAAAATTTATCATTAAAAGATTTAAGATAAATTTTTCTCATTAAATGGAACTGCGGGTGAAAAGCACAACATTCAAAACGTTTTTTTGGATTCATTAACTTACCTTCGATTTCCATGTGTTGTTAATTGTTGTTGTTAATTGTTAAAAATATTTGTTTACAAACATGTAATAGGTGCACGAAACCATTTCTTAAAGAAAGATAGCTTACAGCTCAAGTCCGATCAAAATAGTCAAAACCGTGTCAGATAGTTACAGCTACAAAAATCTCGACGTACTAAGTTGTTCTACAAAAAGAACATCTAAAAAGTGGAACTAATTTTCAGATAACCTACTGAGGCCGAAATTGTTTTCAAACGATAACAGTCTTTTTTATTTTCAACCAATAAGTCGGTTGAAATAAATCATTTCTAACGTTTTCATTTTCGACCGATTTATTTTTCGACCTATTTTACAGATTTTCAACCAATTTGATTTAAATTAATTTTTAACCAATTATCTGGTCTGTGTTTTTGATTTTTATTTTTTAAACGACGAATTATAATTATTTTTTAAAATTAACAATCAATAAGTTTTCCCAGCATTCATCGAACCTTAAACCTCCCGATTCTGAAGACAGCGCTTCACCCTCTGCGCCAAGCTGATCGAATTTGGCTCGTATTCAAATAAACAACAAAATATACAAAATACATACCGAAAAAGCGTAATTATAAAATTGAAAATACAGTAGGTTGAATATTCAGTAGGTTGAAAATTCAGTAGCTCAAAAATACAGTGGGTCAACGATTTAGTAGATTGGAAAATCAGTAGTACATGTTTTAATTAGGTGTAAATATAAAAATCAAAAATTGTCAGTTGAAAATCAAAAAAGATATAGTTTAAGATTTACGAAATTTTAAAATTAGGTTGAGTTATAGGCCACCAAAAAAATAGTGGTAGGTTTACAATAATTAAGGTTGATAATCTCCAAAATTTTCCGGAAAATTTTGCTGGCAATGGAGTAAAAAGGCGAGCGATAGCATGTGATTAAACGGAGATTATGCGAACTATAAATTAAGTCTATACAGACAATGTCAATATCCGTGTCTGTTTGAGTTATTTGTACTTGCTCCGATTTAATGTCATTTCCACAAAAAATAGCTACTCCCCCTCCAATTTTAATGCGATCCTTCAAATAGATTGAGTAATCTTTCGGACAAACAATAGAGTCAGATATTTTACTGGTGAAAAATGTTTAGCAAACGCAAATTATGGCAGGTTTATTTGCCTCCGTAAACATAAAAAATTCGTGCAGCTTATTTGCAAGGCTTCTAACATTTAAAAGATATAAATAATTTTTTGAATAAGGATTCAAAGAGCACCTATTATTCCTATTGCAGCCATTATTACTATTGCTGTTTATTAAATTTAAACAGTAATAGTAATAATGGCTATTTTTTTGTACAAATTATTTTGTCTGGTTTACTCGATTTAGATATAAGACATAGCAAAGATTCTGAATTTTCTAAATTATTTTTTTTTTACATTCATCTCGTAACAACTTTGCTTTATACCTTTCTGCCTCGGTTAAAATCAGGGTTAGTTTAAACGTTTTTAAACTCACTCGAATTTTTCAATAATTTTGCAGCTTTTAAAGTTGAATT